TTTCACTCAGTGCCTCTCACAGCCCTCCAGTCGATGCACAAGCCTGGAAGACAGGGTAGAACCGCCTCTCAGAGTTTCTGAGGGTAACTCTTCACCAGCAAGCCTGGTGTCTCTCGCCCGCAGAGTGGATGGTGGTTTCAAATTGCCCACCTCGCATACTGCAGCTCAATGCATAACACTCAATGACTAGGGGGTGTGTTCTTTGCCGTATATGACTGATAGGAACTTTCTGGTTCACGTTTACCCTAAAATTGGACTTTATGAATGAGAAACTCCTATTTCCAATTGTGACTGAGAGCACTTTACCCCATTGCTCTGTGAGGCTTTTGGAAGAAAAACCACCTGCACAACTTCAGTTCATCCGCCTTCCTTCCTTCCAATCCTCATTTATCTTATTAGCCGTGAGAAATCCCATTCTCCTGACAGGCTATGAGAATTAGTTTTGATTTTGTAATCCTCTTGTTTTTAGCTAATCAGTTCATTTGCCAGGCCTGACATATTATTGGATATAAAAGTCCTTTTTATTTGTTCTTATATATCTGTCTCTGAACAACTATAAAATTTGCTGTCCCTGAGGTCCTAATTTTATCATATGCATATATCATTTTTTCTTCTCTGCTAGCTTTCCATATAATTTATAAATTTTATTTCTGAACCAATGTACCAATAGCTAAATATGAAAGTCTCCTTTTATTATCCTATGTAATACTTTTGTCTCCAAAACAGTCTGATACTAATAGTGTGACTTTTATTTTCTATTTAGTCCTAAATGCCTGCAATCTATTTTAAATCTATTTTTAGTCTTTGTGTGTCATATTTTAGACATACATCTTGTAAAAAGCACACACATACCTTTAAAAAGGCACTCAGTATTTTAAAAAGAATTTAAATTTTTTAAAAATTTAAAAATAAAATCAATTAAAAATTTCTTTGAAGAAATACTGAGTTCATTACATTAAAAAATTAAATCCATCTCTTTTGAATTGTTGAAAAACTGTTTCTTATGCTTTTGAAGAAAAAAAAATTAAACTGTGGCCTGAATCTAAGTTTCTCACAGTGAATCAGTTCAGGTGTCCTTGGGTGGTGCAAGGCACACTTGACTGTTGAAAGGTTAAAGGTGTCACGAGGTGCCGAACGGATCACTGAAGACAAATGGGTGCATAAGCAAATGTGGCAAAGAAAGCTGATGGTGCC